GACATTCCCATCTTCCCCCTCCTCTTTGTCTATCCCCTTCCTCTTCGTCTGTGTATGGTATGGGCTGGCGCAGTCTTCATGTGTGAAGCGCAAGGCCCATTTCACACCATGTAATGATGATGATGATGTATGTTCAGGGCTGCATTTCAACATTGATTGTTCGGATCACTGGTATCTAAGTCTTCCGTTGTGCTATCTTATACTTTGTATTGAAAGGTCGGTTCTTGTTCTGGTCTGCACGTTACAGTATGTAACACTGGAGGACTACCTGGACGTGCCTAACTACAAGAGGCCCAGGCCAGTGTCTGAAACTGGGTCTGGGCGCAGAACATCGTGAGCCTTTTGTGGCTGCTTCCAGAAGCAGCCACAAAGAGGCCCAGGCCAGTGTCTGAAACTGGGTCTGGGCGCAGAACACACCAGTTGGTTACAGAACATCGTGAGCCTTTTGTGGCTGCTTCCAGAAGCAGCAGCTGTGTTGTACAGTTGAGCCCAGGGCTCAAGTGGTTGCGCCCTGGGCACATGCAGTGTGAGGCCGACACATACCACTACTCCTAATTGTAGGCATACGGGGAACCCCGTAGCAGCCAGAACCGTGTTCACAAGAAAACATGCGGGGGGTGCTCCCGACCTGCAGGTGGGTGATACCGGCTAGGGGACAGCCGGTAGCATCAGGGACCATGCCAACAGGGCCAATCCCTGTGCCTCCCCTCAGGTCCCCTCCCCTATGAACATCAGCAGACTCTGCTCAATTTCGATCGGGGGATCCAGTGGTCTATCTCTAGGTGGCGGGCGCCAAGCATGCCCAGGAAGGTACATGAGGCCAATGGGCATTGAACCCACGACCTCCTAAATGCCACTTACGTGCCTTACCAACTGAGTTAGACCGCTGGATCTAACATATTTTCGGGAATTGTGGCGCCGCGGTTAGATGCATTCCTAAAAAACCATTGTTTAGGACCAGTCCTCAAAGAAAGATGTCATTAAAAATAAGAAGAAAAAAAAAGAAAAAGAAAAAAAAAAATCCATGCTTCAGGCTTTCAGCTCATAGGGTGCCACCATGGTTCAACTTCAGATGATGCCCTCTCCACACCGACGCCTTGCTCCTCCGAATTTTAAAGCTCCTTGCGAGGAGCTTTATTTTTTGGGAACTTTTGGGTGGGATTCCTATTTTTTTTTGGACCAGTCTTAAAGCTGTTTTCACATTTTCTTTCATGAATTCGTTTTTAGAAATGTGTGTAACCACACTGCCTTCCCTTTTTCTTTTTTTGTTTAAGCTTTAGAGGAGGGAGTCACTTGAGGGGGTGACAAGAGCAGCATCCTCAAGTGGTCCCTCAGATGAAGGCTCCATCTATTGGTGGGGAGCTGCACCTGCTGGAAACCAGGTCCCGCGTCCCAGATACTACAATACAAAGCAAAGATTGTTGTCCTGTTCGCTGGCCTTCGTGTTGCTGAAGGCCCAGTGTTTCCTATGTTCCCTCTGTCTCTCTCTGTTTCTACCCCTTTCTTGCGCCTGCTGGAAAACCGGATCCAGTGTCCACACTGCATTCCTAAGAACTGGCATATTTACTAAATTCCTAAGAACTGGCATTTTTAGGAATGTCTAACAAGACCCAAATCCCCCCCACCTCCTTCACTAAATCTGGATGTGGGGGCAAAAGGAAACGAACACAAAAGAAAATATCAAAATGACATGACAATCCTAAGGGTGAGATTCCCTTCGGGCATGGTCTCACTACCTGTGTGAGTCAAGTGAGCCAGGTTTGAGGTTCCCCTTGCAAAGAAGTTGGATTAGGCGCCTGAATCTGGATGTGTTTTACGCACAGAAGCAGAAGAGCGGAATCACCTATTTTCTGCACTCTCCTCAAACACCTCCAGATTCAGGCGTTTAATCCAGTCCTCTTTGCTAGCGGGACCTCGTCCCAGTGCCAGTCCCGTTTCGCGTTGGCAAGCGCTGAGACTGACCAGATCTCCACCTCGTATGTGGTTGTTACTGTAGAACGGTGATCTAGTAGTTCACACAGTCTGGAGGCAAGATCCCACTTGCTCTAGACTGTAGGTTACAAGGAACAACCGATTAGAAACGTGAACTCAGATCAGCGAGAGACAGGCCCCGAAATACAACAACATCAAGCGTTGCCCGGACATTTCGGAGAAAGCCTGCAACGGCTGACAGCTGACGGTCAAGTAGCAGCTGGCAGGATAACAACTTGCAGGGCAAAAAAAAAAGAAAAAAGAGGAAAAAAACACCTGTACGCAGTAGCCATAAATATTATACTGTTACCAATGAGCTTAGCTTAGTTGGCACACCCCTGAACTGTTGACATGCAGACCTAAGTTCAAATCCCCTCGATAAATGCAATGATTCTAAATTACCTGCAGCCGGAGCCAAGTCCCACTTGCGGAAATTCTCCATTTCAGACCGTCAATCTCGAACAATCTAGGGCCAGAAATGGAGGATATCTCAAGGCCGTAAAAAGAAAAAAAAAAGAAAAAAAAAAATTGTTTGACGATATATATCTATATACTACATAGTCAAACAGAACTCTCCGGTAAAGCGTAGGCAGAGAGGGCGAAGAGGACGTCAAACGAGGGGCTGTGACAAACTGTTTGGTCAGAGTTTCACCGACTCATACATATTGTCACATAACTATGAAAAAACATCAAACGTTGCCCAGACATTTCAGAGAAAGCCTGGAACTGCTGACAGCTGACGGTCAAGTAGCAGCTGGCAGGATAACAGCTTGCAGGGCAAAATGCATGGGTCCTGGGGACCATCTCACGCAGATGTGTACATGTCATGCATCATCTTCACACGCAGTGATCAATAGTCTCAACCATAGACAAAGGTAGAGAAAAAGAGGACCGAGTTTCACAGCTTATATTATCAGAAATATGATTACAAAKTGTTTCAAAGTTCCCCTKAGTCCAGYGCTCATCAGCGCAACACAAATCTCTGGTCAACTCATCAATATGACTTCCAAGGCATCAGCGCTACTCTTGCAGATAGTCTCCAAGTCATCAATATGGTCACAACTCATCAGCGCCACCTCTGCAGTTCACAACCAACTCAGGTAAGTGTCTCCCATAGCCAAACCTTGAATGAACACTCTATATCTCAGTCCCTTCCTCTTACGATGCATACACTTTCTCTACTCATGAGGATCTACTCTGAATACTACTCATAGCTACATRCTAACCCTCTACTACTAATGCTAACTCGCTGGGCAGCTATGGCTGCGTCATCTCCAGCGTACAGGCTTCTTYCCCCACTCAGCGCATCTTCTACCTCCAGCGYTGTTCCTCCTGACTCAGYGCACAAGTGCACCAGCACTTCCACGCATTGCMGCCAGTGGAGATCTGGCRAGGAATGAGGCAGGCAGCTCCCTTTATAGTGCTGACCACTCCTCGCTGGGTCTGCATTGGCTCAATTCGGCCTTTCCTTTGTCCCAGACCCTGCATTGCATGTGTCCCAGTAGAGTCCCAATGAAGTTCAACTGCTGCTGAGGCRTCTCGGCCTGTATTTGGACTTGAAAGTCTGGATCTGGACTGACCCCTTGACTTAGACCAGAACTGGGACTGTGCCTATTGACTTTACTTTCGGACATGCACAACTCTCAACGAACAGACACATTTACTGCTTGAACAGACACTTTCCTTTACACGAACAGGTACACTGCCTGCACGTACAGACACACTCTTACCCGAACAGACATGACATACACATCTCCTGGTGAACAGGTAAGTCTTTTGATAGTTCCCTTTGCTTTAGATTTAGATGTGCCTGTTGATAGAGAACTTGACCTTTGACCTGCTTTCACGTTTCTGAGCCTTGGCGAGATACCTTTTCACAATGCTTTACTTTTACAAGGCCCGTGCTGCTTTACTTTTACAAGGCCGAAGGCCTACATCGGGTAAAGGCCCTTTTACTCTCGCCGGCCTAATTTTGAAGTCCTCTGAGAATCATTTACCTATCAAGGATATGAATCCCTCTCTTTGCGCTTTCATATGCAGACACAATATGAGGTGCAGAATCTAACAGCTCTTCTCTTGTAAACCAGAGATCTTCACTAGGATTTTGGTATGCAAACCTCACCTTATACTGTCGCTGTGGTCTGCCTCTACGTCCAGTGTGGTAAGTACTTTCTGCAACAATTTTATCTATGTCATACTTCCCATCCATACTTGGAGGTATCGCTGAGCGGCGACTTGGGAAGAGCTCATTCGTTACACGAGGTAAGAGCTTGGACGCATGGAACACTGGATATGTACGTAGATGAGGAGGAATCTCAATGACATACGAAGGCCCATCCACATCTCCAATTACGTCTAGAACCTGCCAAGGTCCTCTGTATGCGGGTAAAAGCTTTTGAGAGATGTTCTCTTCAGGAGCAAATTCTTTGGATTTCACCCAAACCAAATCTCCTACAGCAAATTGAGACGGGCGCCTATGCTTATTTGCTTGTTCAATCATCTGATGCTGGGCTTTGAGTATGCTTTCTTTTACCTTCTCAATGTCTTTTTGATATTCGACTGCAAATTCACTAGTTCCTAGAGGAAGCTTATGGACTTGATCAGGGTTCAACCGATCAATGGGTCTGCGTGGACGCCATCCCAGATGTAACTCCATAGGAGTCTTACATGTAGATAGATGTACAGAGTTATTATAGGCACTGACAACTTTAGGCAGATGTTCATCCCAGTCAATCTGATCGGGACGAATGTACATGCGCAAAGTTTGCTGCAATGTCTTATTCATCTGCTCAGTCTGACCATTAGTCTCAGGATGCCTACCTGAGGATAATGTCAACTTAGAGCCATAAACATTCATCAGTTGCTGCCATTGTTCATTTGTGAACCTAGTGTCTCTGTGACTTACTATAGTCAAGGGATGTCCAAAGTCTTTTACCCAATGGTTAAAGAATTCCCGAATTACCAATTCAGTCTTGGCTTATGAAGGCAAGGCTACAAAAACAACATACTTAGTGAATTTATCCACTATGACCATTACTTGCGTTTTCCCATTTATGCTCTTCACCTTAGTATCCATGAAATCTATAGAGACAGAGTCTCCAAGGCCGGTAGGGATAGGCAAGGGCTTAAGTAGCCCGAGGGGCGATTGCGTGGTGCTTTTGTTTCGTTGGCACACTTGGCAACCCTGCACATACGCGATACAGTCCGCTTTCATTCGAGGCCAGGTGTAGGAACGCAATAAAGTTCCATAGGTCTTTTTCCACCTGAAATGGCCTTCAGTATCATGGCATTCCCCAAGATCATACTCTTGACCTCTTCATCATAGGGTATACACAGCCTATCATGCACATCAGTTCGTTCAAACAATAGACCCTGAGTTACTTTATGATCCGAAAACTCTGTTGGCTTTTCTTGCACTAGCTTAATCATGGCTCCATAAACAGGATCAAGGGATACGCATTTCTAATTTTTTCTTGTAGGTCTGCACCTACATCTAGATAAGTCACAATAGCACCGAAAAAGTCTGATCTACGACTTAGTGCATCAGCAACAACGTTATACTTACCCTTGACTGGCTTCAGCTCAAAGTCAAACATATCAATTTCCGCAGCCCACCTTGTCAACTTAAGGGTCATTCGCGCCTGCGTTTTGAGCCAGCGAAACGTTTCATGGTCGGAGTATACTTTAAAATGCCTTCCCAGAAGATAGTGTCGCCAATGATTGAGAGCCTCACGAAGAGCATACAATTCTCTTTCATACGTCGAGGCGGCCACTTTCTCACTAGGCAACTGGCAAGACATAAACTTCACAGGCCTGTATCCATGCCCATCGTCTTGCTGGAGTACAACACCTATACCATATTGACTAGCGTCGGTCGTGACCACGAAAGGTAAGGAAGGGTCCGCCACTTTGAGAACCGGATAATTAATCAAACACTTTTTCAGACGCTTGAAGGACATCGTGCAGTTTGAATCCCACTTCCAAATTACTTCTTTCTTAAGCAATTGGCGAAGGGGAGCAACTATTATCGTAAAGTGTCTTACGAACTTTCGGTAGTAATTGGCTAACCCAAGGAACGACCGCAACTCAGTCAAGGTGCGGGGGTTCGGCCAATCTCTGATCGCTGCTATCTTGGCATCTTCCGGTTTGACCCCATCTCCATCAATCACATGTCCTAGGTATAGCACCTGACGCTTAGCCCATTCACACTTCTTTGGGTTTAACTTGAGTTTTGCTTCTCTCAATTTATTTAGCACAAGTCGAAGGTGCTCAGCATGCTCCTTTTCATTTTTGCTGAAAATCAAAATATCGTCTAAATAAATCACAACAAATTTATCGAGCCATTCACGAAAGAGTTCGTTCATCGTTCTTTGGAAAGTGGCAGGGGCATTTGTGAGACCAAAGGGCAAAACTACGAACTCATAATGCCCATACCTTGTCCTGAAGGCAGTCTTATGTTGGTCCTCCGGCTCAACTTCAATTTAATGGTATCCGGATTTTAGATCAATCTTTGAAAATACTTTGCTTCCCTACACGCGATCCAGCAAATCGTCTATTCGCGGTAATGGTTCAGCATTCTTTATGGTTATGTCATTTAATCTCCTATAATCTATACACATGCGAACGCCGCCATCCTTTTTAGGCACAAAGAGCACAGGCGCACCATAGGGTGAGGAGCTAGGTCTTATCCAACCATTTTTCAACAACTCATCGAGTTGGGYTCGCAGTTCATCYAATTCCTGGRGCGACATACGATAGATAGGCCCYTTCGGGGGCGCGCTCCCKGGAATGATATCAATGCGGTGGCGGATTGGTCTTTCCACCACACCGCTTGGGGCTTCAGCCACATCTGCGAACTCTTTCAGGATCCTCTCAATTTCTTGAGACCTGACTTCTTCCTTGGTTTCTCCTTCCTTCACAGGGCGCACATATGCAACAAGGACTTGGTCGTACAAGTTATGTTTCTTAACATGCCGAGCGAACGCTGGGGCACTCATACAACAGTGAGCTAGGCTGCTTTACTTTCCAGATTCATGATAGAGGCGGATTTTCTTCTTACCTCCTTGCGGACTTGGAAGCCAACATTCATGTTCTCTTAACTTTAAATCCGCATGCGCAGCCTCACCCCAATCCATTCCTAACAACACATCAAAGGGCAAGTTATCCTCCACCAAGAAGGTCAGAGAGTGGAGAACGCGTTCCACCTTTCCCTCTGCTTCTAGCCGAAAGTATACTTGTACTCCCTCGACGTATCGATCCATGACGGTTTCACTACTATTTGCTAACTTACTTACAATGGGCTCACCTAACTTCTTAACCTTAAGCCCAAGACGCAATTTCCGCAAACCTCTTTTACTAATATAACTGCGTGTAGACTCGCTGCCTATCATACCTCCTACTCTTATTCGATTTATCTCTAGATCTGCAATTATTAGTTGTCCTTTCTTTTTACGCATTTCAGTCCAGGCTTGGCGACAAGCGGCCTACTCATCACCCACACCAGCGAGGGATCCATCTAGAGAGATGCATACGTCTGCCACCTCTGGACAATGTACTAGATAGGGACTTCCTTCCTCTTCAATTTCTGCCATTGGGGCCTTCGAATGGGAGGATTCTGATTTTTCAACATTCGAAGCCCCGGTAGAGGCAACTGGTTGTTCCCTTTTGCCCCCCTATAGTCAGGGCAGTAGGGGACAATGTGGTCAGGGTCCCCACATTTAATGCATTGATCCGCCTTCTTCCTTTCGCCCCAAACTTTTCCTGTGATTCCCAATTCTTTCCAAGGCTCTCCTTCCGGCAGGCCTGGATGAGGTGGGTATGGCTTATCCCACTTGTTGTACCATGAGCCTCTTCCTCTACCCCAGGTGGAGTAAGAACCACGGCCACCGTATGAGGGACCATTTCCTCGTCCTCCCACGTAGTGGCTTCCTTCACCACCACCCCTCTGGGTGTCGAATCCTCGTCCACCACGGCCGCGACCTCTTCCTCGGCCACACCCTCTTCCTTGACGCCCTCCCCCGCGGGCTGCAACAGCCGCGTAACTCCCCTCCTGAGCTATCGGTCTGTTGGGTTCATCGAGACCATAGTCAACCTGATCCCAGGAGATGGTCTCGGCGCCTCCTTCTTCAAAGGTTAGAAGGAGACTGTCTTTCCCAGGTATAGACCCTGAGATAGTGCGGTTTTGCCATCTCTTACCCGCTTGCAGATCCTTCCAATAATGRCAATAATTCGCTTCAGCGAGGAAGCCGGCATGATCTATTGCGATCTTGCCGAACTTCTCATACGTCATCCCCTCTTCCTTTGTGCGGGGATAGAGTTGCGTTCTCAGGGGATCCGGGAGTGCTCGTGCAAAACTGTTTAAGATTTGGGCCGGCGTCAACCCGTGATCAGGGCATTGCAATAATTCATCCATAGTGGCCTTTAGTGCAGAAGTACTCTTCCACTTCCTATCAGGAAGGCTGAGGATCAACATTTTTGTGCGTCTTGCCAAGTTTTTGTCCTCAAATCTTTCTCTTATTAACTTAAGGAAATCTTCGATTCGGGTTTGCTGCGAATATTCTACCATAGAGTTGCACCCCGCCTCCTTCTGCAGCGAGATGGCGAAGCTCATGGCGTCGCCTCCCATGTACGAAGTTGCCATCAACACCCTGTCCCAGTATGGGATACGCTGTCCGTACACATAGGTTTCAATTGCCCCGCCCAGTGTAACACACTCTCTTTTTTCTTTCCATTGTAGGTCCAGGGCAGTTTAAGTTTTATCTTGTTAACCTGCCCGGTTTCCTGAGGAAGTTTTTCTTTTGGATCCCCAATCTTCCTCTTTCCTTTCTTATCATCATCGCCGTCGCCATCTCCATCTCCTCCGTCGCCTCTAGCTCCCTTTACAATCTTTTCTATAACTTCGGGGGTGAATGTCTTACTGACGTGGTCATCTAAAGCCTGGATATAGGTCTGAACATGATGGTCCACATCCTTGGCTGACTTTTCCAAGAAGTTGTTCCAAACTGTTTCGAATTCCACTCGATGTGTTTCTACGCGTTGCAAAGTCTGACGCATTAAGTCCATGTCTTGCCTCGTGTTGAGGACGGCCTCCCTGAGAAGCGCAAGCTGTGCTTCAGTTTCAGAGGGGTTTTCCTTTTGCGCTTCTAGAGCTTTCTGCAATTTCTCCCCTTCTGCTTGCAGCCTTTTCTTTTCGTTCACTTCTTGCCTTCTGGATGCTAACAACTTGCTGTTCAACTCAGCCCTTTTCTCTGCCATCATCAGATTGCGTTCAAGCGTATCTGTCACCGTGGCTAATTTGACAATGAACACATCACGTTCTTCTTCAGACTCTTTTAGGATTTCGCTGGAGTAATAAGACTGATCAGCCCAATTTAGCGGTTCAACCGGAAGCCGTTGTGCTGTACTACTCTCCGGGATGTCAATGGGACGACGTCTTACTAAAGTCTCCACTTCCTCTTGTTCTTCTTCTTCTTCTTCTTGTATACTTTTCAATTCTTCTTCTAGTTCCTTGTCCATTTTCTCTTTCATTTTTTTTCTTGCTTCTTCTTCTTTCTGTTTTTTCTTTGCTTCTTTTTCCTTTTTCTTATCTGCCAGCCTGCGGTCAATTTCTGCTTGCTCCGCAGGTGTGGGCCCAGGCTTCACTGTTCCGGACTTCAACAACATGCGGGACGCATAGACGCGTCTGAATCCTAACGGGAACATTAGTCGGAAGATCGGGCCCAACAAGACAGAAAGGGCCAACAGGCCCTGAATGGGATAGTCATCCATGATGACTACCGGCACAGGAAACCCTCCGCCGAGTCACCAAGGTACTATCCCACTTACGGACTTGGTCTTGACTTGCGGTAATGGAGTAGTTATACGGTAGAAGGTGCTGCGTACAATCAACAATAGATCAAACTAGAATGAACTTGAATATGTCTGTTTTTTTTTTTGATGTGTTGTCTGGCCTCCTGGATCGAACTTTTGGTAATGTGTTTCTATTGTCTTGCTTCCTCTCTTGATATAGACCTTTTTTTCTTCCTTTTACTAACTTGCTGGGTGTCTGATGCAGGTATGGAGTACAGCGCAGATTCAGATGGTTCACTTATCCAACTAGGCAGGAATACTTCGTTCCAATGTTACTTTCTGTTGGCTCAACAGGCCCTGCAGATACTCAATATCATCCTTATGCTGCCTGGTACATACTATCTGACGTGGCACATAGCCACTTCCCACATTGATTCTTGGTTCTTGATGACGATACCCAGCCTGCCTAWCAAGAGGGATAGGAGAGAGACCTACTCCTATTCGCAGAATACTGGACCACCTACTCTAGTGTGACCAGTTCCTGATACATCACACATGGGTCATCAGACTTTGACGGCTCAGACCTGACAGCTATGACAACCCAGATCCAGACTTCGACTCCTGACCAGATCAGCAGCAGTCACCTTCAGAGGGTCAGAGAGAGAGAAGGTAGGGGACACACACATRCATGCAGGTTCAGGGAAAGGACGTGCTTCTCTCTTCTTGAAGATACCGCCGATGATGCTCCACGACGCTCCGCACGCTCCAGGTAAGTAGACTTCGCCACTTCTTCTTCGGCCTGCTTCCCCCACTATCAAAACCCTTCTTCTCTTCCTCCCTCCTTCACTCTTCCTCCATCACCACTTCGTCTCGCCGGCCTTGATCAGACCAGCGCTATGAGTGTAGTGAGCATCTGCTCCGATACCAAAATTGCATGGGTCCTGGGGACCATCTCACGCAGAGGTGTACATGTCATGCACCATCTTCACACGCAGTGATCAATAGTCTCAACCATAGACAAAGGTAGAGAAAAAGAGGACCGAGTTTCACAGCTTATATTATCAGAAATATGAATACAAAGTGTTTCAAAGTTCCCCTGAGTCCAGTGCTCATCAGCGCAACACAAATCTCTGGTCAACTCATCAATATGACTTCCAAGGCATCAGCGCTACTCTTGCAGATAGTCTCCAAGTCATCAATATGGTCACAACTCATCAGCGCCACCTCTGCAGTTCACAACCAACTCAGGTAAGTGTCTCCCATAGCCAAACCTTGAATGAACACTCTATATCTCAGTCCCTTCCTCTTACGATGCATACACTTTCTCTACTCATGAGGATCTACTCTGAATACTACTCATAGCTACATRCTAACCCTCTACTACTAATGCTAACTCGCTGGGCAGCTATGGCTGCGTCATCTCCAGCGTACAGGCTTCTTYCCCCACTCAGCGCATCTTCTACCTCCAGCGYTGTTCCTCCTGACTCAGYGCACAAGTGCACCAGCACTTCCACGCATTGCMGCCAGTGGAGATCTGGCRAGGAATGAGGCAGGCAGCTCCCTTTATAGTGCTGACCACTCCTCGCTGGGTCTGCATTGGCTCAATTCGGCCTTTCCTTTGTCCCAGACCCTGCATTGCATGTGTCCCAGTAGAGTCCCAATGAAGTTCAACTGCTGCTGAGGCRTCTCGGCCTGTATTTGGACTTGAAAGTCTGGATCTGGACTGACCCCTTGACTTAGACCAGAACTGGGACTGTGCCTATTGACTTTACTTTCGGACATGCACAACTCTCAACGAACAGACACATTTACTGCTTGAACAGACACTTTCCTTTACACGAACAGGTACACTGCCTGCACGTACAGACACACTCTTACCCGAACAGACATGACATACACATCTCCTGGTGAACAGGTAAGTCTTTTGAYARTKCCCTTTGCTTTAGATTTAGATGTGCCTGTTGATAGAGAACTTGACCTTTGACCTGCTTTCACGTTTCTGAGCCTTGGCGAGATACCTTTTCACAATGCTTTACTTTTACAAGGCCCGTGCTGCTTTACTTTTACAAGGCCGGAGGCCTACATCGAGTATAGGCCCTTTTAAAAAAAAGAAAACAAGGAAAAATCCACCTGTACGCAGTAGCCATAAATATTCCATTACCAATGAGCTTAGCAGCTGGTAGGATAACAGCTTGCGGGCAAAAAACAAAAAAAAAAAGGAAAAATCCACCTGTACGCAGTGGCCATAAATATTCCGTTACCAATGAGCTTAGCTCAGTTGGCACACCCCTGAACTGTTGACAGGCAGACCTAAGTTCAAATCATGACAGGCCTTGATAAATGCAATGAATAATTTTGAATTACCTGCAGCCGGAGCCAGGTCCCACTTGCGGAAATTCTCCATTTCGGCCCATCGATCTCTAACAATCTAGGGCCAGAAATGGACGATATCTATATATATATTATTTATATATCTATATCTATATATATATATTTATATATCTAAATAGTCGAACAGAACTGCCCGGTAAAGCGTAGGCAGAGAAGGAAAAGAGGACATCAAACGAGGGGCTGTGACAAACTGGTTGGTCGGAGTTTCACCGACTCATATATATTGTCACATAACTATGAACTAAAAGAGCGAACTTTGCGAAACAAACGGTAAAGATAAAAAAACAAGACAAACATGAGGGGCACACTGAAGCCATTCATTTTTGTCATTCTTCTTTCAACCCCCCTCGCCCCCTTCATTGTGCCTTTCACCGTGCCATGTTGATGAAGTTGAACGTGAGCTGCCTGCATCCCCATTTGCCATAAGGGCCCACTTGTACGCTGTGAGAAAGATGCAAAGTAAAGGGGGAGGTGATAAACACGGGGAAGAAAGGTGAAGGGGAAAGTAAGGGAAAGTATGGAGTGTGGAATGAAGATGAAGGCAAGGGAGAGGATAAGAAAAACCTCAAGAATGAGTCCGTCCTTGACAACAGAGAAGACACACATTGTAAGGATGCGGTGGATGGGCACATGGAAGACCTAGTTGAGCATTCTCATCACAACAATTGCCACGACGGCCGGCATTGAGCATGCCCACCATACACTCCAAACAATTGGCATGTCAATCGCATGCCAAAATGGAGGAAAAACGCTCGCCACAAAAGACCATACATTTAGTATAGTGCCCATTCCCACAAAAATTGTGCTCAAAACTCCCAAATCTCCTCCAGCTCTTCGCAGCATTTTTGGAGTCACAACACAAAATAACAGTGCTGTTCCCCTGTGCGCTCGCCCTCATCTAACAATTTGCACTATTCATGAACGACGTCCTCACAAACCATTGGCTAACACAATGACTACTTCGTCCTATTTCAACCCTGCTTTGCAAGGAGTGATTTCTACTCATCGCGAGAAAGATAGTGAGCTCTATCAAGAGGTTGGTGTTCGACGGTACTTAATGATTCAGAGTGTCGATGAAGTGCCGATGGACCTGAAAAACAGTACATAGTCTCTTGTGGCTTCTTTCCCCGCACTGTTGATTTTACCACAATGTACGTCTCTCGTGGCTTCTCTCCCCACACTGTTGATTTTACCACAATGTACACCAACCTCCTCATAACCGTATTCTGAATAACGTGGCAAAGTTATTGATGAAGCCCATGCTTATGCTCTTCGGCATACTCGCACGAATGGGTGTTGCAATGCCTTGGACATGGTTATTCAAGGAACTTGTGTCCAACAGACAACCAATTCAGACCCAGATACCCTTTCCGTTTCTCAGATTATCCAACATTTTCACTTTGTTGTACAAAACATTTTTCTATACACCAGAGATGACACACGTCAAAAGAAAATTATAAGTATTCCAATGGGAATAAATGCTGGCCAAAAAAATTCTAACTGACGCTGTATTGGGACGGAGTACGCTTTGTTTACAACATTCGTCAACATGATCTTCAAGCCGCTCGACAATATGTCTTCACTTATCGCCTCATTGATGATGTTATTTTATGAGAGCAATTACCTTCTCCTCCATGGCACTTTGGGCTTGAGTGGAAGGAAACTACAACGATAGATGGCTCGTAAACCTTTTTAGGTATGCATCTACGGGTCCGTTCTAATGGCTCGCTTCGTGTATTTGATAAGGCAGCTGTTTGGGATTTCCTTGTCATTCGTTATCCACGTGCGACCTCCAACATCCCTTCCCATCAACCTAGTGGACAATTGAGCAGATTTGAACAAATCTGTAACAATTGGTAGAGATTTTTAACTGCGGCAATAACACTTACTCGTCACATGCTTTCTTGTGGGCATTCCCCACCAACTCTTGCTAAGGGGCGGACATGCTACATGTGTTCCCGCCAACATCGCCATCCTACGCATGTTACGTGTCTCTCTCAGTAGTTCCCTTGCATGCTGCGATGGTCCCTACATCATCCACTTTCTTCTTTGCCCCCACATCGCTCTTGTCCTACTCCTACTTCTCATCTGCTTCTACTGCAGTTTCCGCTAATGCAATTTTCACTGCTGCGGTTTTCACTGCTGCACTTTCTACTTCTACAATTTCTACAGCTCCGTTTTTCACTCAGACAATTTCTGCTACTGCAGTTTCCACTACTGCAGTAATTCCAGCTGCTGCAGTTTCCACCACTGCGGTTTTCACTATTGCAGTTTCCACTACAGCAATCTCCATTGCTACAGTTTCTACAACTTCGGTCAATTACCCCGACAGTTTCTTCTGCTGCAGTTCCTACTACAGCTTTCTCTCTTTCAGTCTTCAATAAAACAGTTTCTATAGCTAGAATTCCCTGTACTATAGTTTCTTCTACTACAACTTCCTCTGCTGCAGCTCCAGCACAAA